CGAAAAGCTCACGGTGTGCTCACTTTTTACTCCCCAAACGCTCCGAATTTCCTAAGAGTGTAGGGAGATTGAAAAAAACGGGTGTCATCTCGTTGCACGATATCATCTATGGTATCGCGTCCAGGTCCGGCTGGCCTTTCCAATGAACACAGTGGCACATCAAGAGTTGTATTGAGAAACTACACCTCGAGGTAACAAATCGATGAACCTCATTATGCTAGCTTGCCACGTGATAACTAGCGGCGATAATAAATTTATGCCACCTTTCTGTGGTAAGTGACAATCGGACTTCGTTTCAATCAAGTTAGAGCGTATCAGGAGTCAGACGTAGAAAGGTCATACTTGGAAAAGGCGACCTTCGAGATATCTTCGCGTTATTCGTGCAATATTACTCGAATTGCAGCCGCTTTCCACGAGATAAATAACGAGCTGGGTTTCGTGTCGGTCACCTTCTACATGCTCCAAAGCTTCTTAGATGACGAGCTGAATTTTGTGTCGGTCACCTGTATGCTTCCAAAGCTGGATCGGTTAGTAAGCGCCCTTCAAGCATCCCAAATTGAGTCCGACGACGCAGTTTCGATCCTCGTGACTCCTGATTTCCGAGCAGAGAAACTCATGAAACTCACGGCAGTGTCCAAAATGGAAGTTTCCTCCTGAACCTCGGGGCTGATTCCAGATAGATTCACCTGGAGAGTCCAGGTGAAGTGAACCGCCGTCGCTGACGTCACGTGACCGGATGAATTTCGACTTATTCCACCCAGGCTTTGCGTGTAATCCACTGCACTGCCTAGCACAGGGCTGGAAACACGAGGAAAACACATGCGTTAATTACAAGATGTGAAGTAAATTTTGGACACAAACACAATGAACTATAGAGTCGATGAGAACGGGAAAGGAGAAGTTCAAATTTATTCATAGGGATCTGGTGCTGCTAGAATAGATACGGTTGACTGTTACTGTTGAGTTTTGGACAGTTTGTTTTCGGCAAGGCCGGTTTGCACAAAAAATCGAGTGCTCTTTCATCAGGAACGCCGATAAATTTGTTGACAGACTTGAGGGGAGATCGACCCCGAGGCAACGTCCCAATTAGCGTTCAATGTTGGCCCGATCGTGGTCTCGTGGTGGTGATCGTGGTGATCGTGGTGATCGTGGTGATTGGTACATTCACCTCAGATTGGCACGGGTACTCACTCTATCTTGGTGCTAGATTGGGACATATTAGGGTACGATATAGACTTGCAATATAGTTCCGATGTTTACCCCTGATGAGCATTCAGATATTGGGAGTGTCCGAGAGATCCAATAACTGGACAATGCGCTCTAAGATTGCATCTCTCGTGTTGAACCGATATTGGACCTGTCCTGTACACCCCATTAGAAAAGTGAAATTCTCCCCGCCACTAGGAGTGTCGTTTTTCGACAGAACACAAAAGTTCCCCAAATTTCGCTGGAAGCATTTAATACTCATTCATACTTCGTCTGGTATACTTAACGCTTTTACTCTCAACAAAGTTATATCACTTTATAAAAAGTCATAGTGCCGATATATCGGCACTGTGAGTTTTAAAGAGTTAAAGAAACCTGCAATAGCAGTGCATCAGATGCCGTTATTGATGGAGTACCCTTCCCTATGGATGGAAAAGTTCCAACACTTTGTGGTTTAAATTTTGGCCGATAATCTCATAACCTGTATTGGTCCAATATCCCTATGCTGCGGGAGTAGCTGCGTCAGAGACTCCAGCCCGTTTACGACCCATGGAGCTGCTCGGTGATGTCCACCGAAACCGCCTTTTTTTTTCACTGATACAGTAGAGGGAACCGATAAGTTGCGTCGGGGGGAAAAGCGCTATCGGGAAGCATCCGTCGTGAAATGATAAAGCTGTCTGCTCTATTCTTCCATGACGGATGCTCACTTCAACAAGTGTCCCTTAGGATGAGCTGATACGGTCAACAGATACATAATTGTCAGGCATTAAAATGTGAGAAACGGATCTCCACCTGATTTTGACCGTGTTGATGGCAGACAAGATTTCGTCGGGGCTCAAAGCCTGGATTCGGGTCTCGTCGAAGTTCCAGAGTTCCAGCAAGTTCTCCATCCAACAAACGCGGTCCAAAGTCGGTAGAATGGAGCAGAAGAAACTTCGCGACGCGTCGCCTCTCGGAGGGCCTCCTGGGGCGACATCCTCGCGGAGATCGTAGTAATCGTAGTCGCGGGTGGAGTTGTCCCAGTTGGAGTCGCTGCTGGAGTTGTTCCGGTCGAAGAAGTCAGCTGAATTTGCTTCCCGCTTTGATTTTGAAATGCGAGGCTGATCTTCCATATCTTCCCATTCGGACGGGATTACCGGCAGCCTGAACAAAGACAGCGTCGGCAAATGACATTCCGAGGCAAATCTCCATGCGTTTGGAGATAGTTTTGCACTGATGAGAAGGACCCAAGAAAACTAAAAACTTTACGCGGAAGTGAAAAAGAGGATCGTGCGGGATGACGGCCTTACGAAGCAAGGAAACGAGACTACTTAAAAATCGCCTGTGAACGCATAAATCAGGTGCGCATTAATTACATATTTATGTAGACAGGCTAGTAAGTTACTCCAAACCATCATTTTGGAACATCCAGGATCTCGTGGACGAGTTGTTCTGACGACAAGATGATGCACCGGCTCATCACCACTAAGGTTGAATGAAAAGTACTCCCGTAGTTGGATTCATTGCAGAGTGGCAATCGAGTGGCCACCTGATCCCTACCCCCCAGGAGGCAGCACTTCTGTTCAGCATTTCCATGCACGTGCACGCAATGAATTATGTATCTCCGAGCCTCGAATGAAGACGGAAACTCGTGGAAGCAGCCGATCATGATCGAGCATGAGAAGCATGACCCGCAGGAACATTCTTCTGTTCAGCATTTCCATGCACGTGCACGCAATGAATTATGTATCTCCGAGCCTCGAATGAAGACGGAAACTCGTGGAAGCAGCCGTAGTACTAGCTCGTACTCTTCGTACTGGGCGTCCTTGTAAAGGCGAAGCGAAAGTTTGCGCGGCATAACCCTTACTAAGGAAGGAAGTGCAGACGTGTGTGTCTTCGTCACTGTGTGACTCTACTAGGTTTCATTCACTTCTACTCGGTCAATCCCAACTTCATGGGAAGCCAATCTCGTACGCGCTATGCTTTTCGTATTTCCAGTAAGCCTATTATACGAGGACATAGGACCCCCATGAGGCAAACCCCAAAGCTAGGTTGATCCAGGGGTATCTCATCTGTCGAAAGCGTTCTATTAGGTTTTGCCCCAAGTCAATCAGTGAGTTTTGGATGAATGCACAATGCTTTCGGATCGAAATTTGTACCAGACCCTCCGAGCGAGACGAAAAAACTGTACGTACCTCATTCATCGAAGTTACCCCAAATGTAGTTTCTGTAATTGATCCACCTGCTAGGCTCGAGTACTGCAGTACTCGAGACCTCCAAATGATACACAACTACAGAAAGAAGACCATATTTGTTGAAGTCGACCCTGTTTTTTTTCCCCCCCCCCCCTCTGTTGCTTTGTGCTTTTTGATACTACTTAGTACCACTTCATGTTATAAGATAAACGCTTGAGATC